GCACTGGTTAGTGCACTCCCTACTCTGATGATGATGATGAACTTTTAAATGCTATTATAATTTATCATAATTAAGTAAATTTTGTTTGGAGAAAAATTATGTGAAGAAAACTTTGAAAAATTCCTTTACTCTCACTTGGAAGCGATGTCGATGCATCATTTTTAATAAAATTATGAGTTTTAATTTCTCAACACCAACTGACATCTTCTTTGCATTTCATTTTAAACCAATTAAAAGAAATTTTATTATTTTCAGATATTTTAGTGCTGTTCAAGAATTTTTCATTGTATCGTTTTGATGGCAAAAGTCTGGTAAAACCACCTCGTCGATAATGTTCTCGCGAAGCTTGATGCATATATAAAATATTTTCTTCGCTTAAATATGTCAAACACAACTCACATTCCTTCAAACCAAAGTTGGACCTGCAATTATTGTTCTCGCAAGTTTTAATATTCACTGCAATATTTCTTGAATTCGAAGTCATTTCCTCGGAATGTTTGTCATAACTAAAAGAAAATATTCACAGTGAAGGAAAACAATTCAAATTAATATTCAATTCGAAATATTTATCACCATGACATCATGTCAAAATAACTTCCAGCTCCCACTAGAACCAAAGTTTCGTAAACAAGTTGTTCTCGAATTAAAGAGTTGTCTTTAAAAAGTTGATATGTTGGAGTCAAGTTTGGACTTTGATTGACTTCCATAAGGTAAAGTTTAAAATTTTTATCCAATACAAAATCAAATCGAACAAGTTCGAAGTTATTCCGATGAAATGTGAAATTATATCGTTTCAACTGCAATCATTAAATAAAAATAAAATTTTGAATTCTTTTATAATCAATTTTAATTACCTCTGCTATTACTCGATTTTCATTTCTTAACATTAAAGTTGTAATAGCATCGTCAATATTTTCCCAGAATTGATTAACATCATAATTCTTTTCCTTAAGTATAGCTTCGAAAGCTGCTTTTGAAGGAAACCCATAATCGTCCAAAAAGCGTTTGAATGAAGGCAATTCGGCATCAGGCAGGTGAGTACCATCAACAACATATTTACCAATAATATTAGGATCAAATGGATAATAAGGTTGATTACAAAATCGAATTATTATATCTCTGTCATAACGATAGACTCTTAAAGGATCCACTGAAGTAGTGAGAACGTAAACTCCAATGTCAAAGAAATGATCATCAATCAAAAGTGGATCTTCCATAAATTCTTGAAGAAATTTAAATTTCTTTTGGTTTTGAACATCAGTTTGATTAACAATTTTCACGCCACGATTGTACATGTGTTTTGTAACTAATCTTTTATTAGGATTTAATTTGATGTACTCTTGGAAATCTTTTTCCATTCTGGGTAATTCAAAAGATGGCAGAATGAAGTCCAAATCTCGATTGTGTGTAGTTAAATAAACTTTATTTGTGATGAACGATGTGCCTGGATAATGATTGATTTTTTGATGAGGCTTAAGAGGTTGAAACATGGCGTTAAAAACTTCTGGATAATTATCTTGGTAGGGATACTCCATGCTCCATAATATATCCCAATCGTCACCTTTAGAACCGTCAGCAGCTTCATACCCCAAACGTTCGAACACGCGTTTGACTGTTCTCAAATTTCCATTTTTGTTCCAATTGTGTAAACAAACATCCCAATATTTCAAAATTTTACTATCTTTTGATTGTGTTTGGTTGCCAATTATTGCATCTTGCTTAAATAGTTTCTTAGATATGTCTTCTCTATAAATTGAGAATATAATTACAACGGAAATCAATACAAATTGCGACCAAACAATGTTAACAATTTTCATTTCGAAGTGTTTGATGAAATTTGATGTTGTCACCAGCACTGCAGAACCAATACTCATTGTCATAAATAAGTTCAATAATACAGTCATAGAAGTATTTCAATACATTTAACAGATCATTGTATGTGTCAGATATAATTAAAAAGAACGATCAATTAAAATAAGATCTGGAATAATGTTTTGAATTCGCCAAGATACAATTGTGTAAATAATTTACACACGACTCATAATAATATTTATTAAAGAGAAAAACTAAATATTTTTGATCTTAATGAAGAAGCGAAGTATCTTTGTCTGTGTCTCAATATCATCAGAAAGACATTAAAGTTCTGTAGATTTAAAATTTGTTGTAATAAAAAGTTTCAACTTACCTTTTCCAGATAACAAAAGATTTATTATCCACATAACTAATTTATTTTGCTGGAAATGAATGTCTTGAAGATGATCTATAACAATTTAACTTAATTATAATGATGACTACTGTTTGGATAACATTAAAGTTGTTCCTTCTTTCATTAGCAGAAATTAGTAAGTTTGCAATTCGATTCCAATTTATATGAAAGGAAATTAAGAAAGTTTAAAAAGTAAATAATAAGAAAATCTGAAAATGATGGAAAATCTTGAAGATAAATTGTCGACGTAAAGATTTTCACGACCCAGAATTTTTTTTCTTTCATAATTAAATGAATTTCTGTCCAACAGCCGCTTCTTGCCCGCTTTAAATGTAAAAGTTTTTCTCCTTTTTTTGTCTCTTCTGCTTCAACAGTAATTGTTTGATTGTTTTAAGTTGCTGCTTTCATTTCAGACACTGGCAGAACATTTTTTCTCAACAGTTGTTCATGTGAAACAAATGGGTGCCGCAAGGACTAGCAGCTAGCACTCAGAAATTCAAATTAAAAGTTGTTTCCTGGTTATGAAGCCAGATTTCAATAAAATGTATTTTGTGAATTTTACTGGAGGATGTGAACATTGATATGAAATTGCGTTGTTCGACTTTTAGTTAGGTAGTCGTTTATATGTTGCAAGCCAAATCTGCCATCAGAAATTCGATTCTCTCTGCCTTTAGGGTTGCTCAAAACCAGCGGAAAATAAAAACCAGCAAACCAGCAGTCACAATTTAGGAAAACCAGCAAACCAGCGCTGGTTTGCTGGTTTTAATAAACACACTTAATTTTAAGTTATTTTGCTCTTTGTTTTCTAATATAAAAAAATTTCAAGAAGATCAAAGAATTTAAAGTCTTGTCGTTAAATCTTAAAAAAATAGTCGACGAGAAAACACGTTCAACATCTGTTGAAAAATGATTTAATTGTGGATTATTAGTAAAATTATATTTAATTACAAAACTTCAAGAATTTGAAGATTTGAACAATCCTTTGACGTTAAAAATAGAAGCAGCATTTGATAAGTTAAATATCAGCGAAAAGATGGAAGCATTAATTATGTTCATGTATGTATTGAGAGAATCTTCTATTAATCAACTAAGTAATTAGATCAAGAACATGTTGATTTCAAAATACCTAACTGACGTCTAAATGGTGACAAAGGAACAACAAATTAAATTCTCGATAGTAAGAAGTGTAAGATAGTTTCATTCGTTGAACATAGCTTCACTGCTTACAATCGATGATATTCTGCAAGACATAATAAGAAAAATATTAATCATGAANATATGAAATTGCGTTGTTTGACTTTTAGTTAGGTAGTCGTTTATATGTTGCAAGCCAAATCTGCCATCAGAAATTCGATTCTCTCTGCCTTTCAACATTGTCAATAAAGATAAATTAAATTTCTCGCTCAACTATCATACAATTTTTCACTTTTAAAAATGAAACCTTAAAAAACAGAAATGAATTTGGTTAGTAATATTTTGGAGCTTGAATTTTCATTTCAACTTAAAATCGAGCTGTATTGTGTCGTTGTGTCGAATTCATCATTAAACCCAAAGCATTACCGAGAAAAATTCTAAAATTTCTCACAATGTAGATGTTTCCGCAAGATTTCAACCTTCATTTGGATTACATGCAGGCGATTGACGTAAATATGTCAATCGAGAATTTCATGTTGAAATGCACAGACTGGGTAAGATTCTTTAAGATTTTCCACGAAATATTTTGCAAATATTTTGAAAGATTTTCTAGGAAAAGCCAGTGAAAAGAATTTCTAACAAAGGAAATTTCCAGAAATGCTTCTTTAAGGAACGTAAAAATGATGAATTTCTTCAAATCATTTGATTTCTGTTTTCCCTGTTCCATTCCTACCAACTTAGCATATAATTACCCTAAATAGGTTTTGATTCCATTAACCGATAAATCCCAAAAGAGGAAAAGGGATTTCTATCTCTCTAACTACTCTTTATTTACGTCATTTGCTTGAATCGCATGTAGGCACTTGTAGATCTAAGAAGTTCCTTTTACGGACGATCATTAAATTGAAGTTTCAAACATTTTCTTTGTAACTGAAAAACAAGAAATTAAATTGTTGATCATTTCCAATTCAC